AACTGATCCAACACTAGCGCTTTGATCCAGCAGAAATACTTTGTAAATCAGATTGAAAGCATTTAATCCTTCAGGAATACTGAACGCCGGCCAGTTTACAGAAAATGACACACAAACTACAGTTATTCCGAAGTCAAGAGTGTAAATTTAGACATGTTTGTGAAGATCAATGAAGTCAAAACTAAAAAATTAGGACAAAACACAGCCAGACATATTGATGAAGACGACAGGGATGTTTTCACTGTATCCAATTAAGATATTACATGATATTGTAAAAAATATAATTTAGTTTAACTCAGAATTCATTTAATCTGACTTAAGTAAAGCAGGGAAAATACGTATTGAACATGTCACCATTTTTGTCAGAAAACATATTTGTAAAGGTGCTGCTGACTTAAAATTTTTCCAGGATGTCGGTCACAACCAAAGAAATCCGACATCTACATTACCAGGAGGATGAGGATGAGGATGAAACCAAGGTGAACATTTCAGCAAGACCATCGTTCAAAACACAGCCAAGGAAACTCAAAGGCTTGAAAAGAAAATCAAGCTGCAGAATGGCCCAGCCAATCACCTGACTTGAATCCAATAAAAAATACAAAATGAAGATCAGATTTGATAGACAAGACCCACAGAAACATCAAGATTTTTACACTCCGTCGAAGTCTGTGAAAAACTCACACCTTAGCAATTCATGTGACTTCATTCTCCATATAAGAGGTGTCTTTAAGCTGCCATCCCCAAAACAGCCTTTTATATAAAGTATTAAATAGATTTTAGTAGTTCAGTACTTTCTCCTTGTGTCATTTCATTGTTATTACATGATGCATTTTTTAGAATTCTTATATTTGTATTGTTTGAGTTTTTACCTAAATCTGATTCAATTACATGTTCACAGCTCCTTTAAAAATATTATTCCCAGGAAAAAAAAACATGATGTGTTCTTTACTTCCCCACCCGCTGTATACAGTATATGCATACCATTATGGTGTACAGTACTGTAAACCTACAGTAAATATTTCTAATAAGTAAATAATTTAATTATTTCAAGTCAAGTTTACTCAAATCAGACTTGAGTTTGAGAATGTTGATATTCTTCCAATAACTGATTAAACTCCTTCAATAACTGTAATGTAAAATAAACGAGTTCTTATTTAACGTAGTAATTTATCACTGTGATTTAAGCTGGATTTACAGAAATGTTACCAGATGGACTACATTATAACATGGTTTTATGTATTTCTAAGTCAATAAATATTACATTCTAGTCTTTACTGTAAAATAGTATCTCTGTTTAATTAAATTCTAAATGTTTATTTTTAAACATTTCAATGTTCCTTTGTGAATTTTAAAGCAGTTGATAAAAAATTCTAATTGATAGTTTTTTTTTTTTTTTTTTACATTTTTAACATTCTACAATATTTATGAAAAGTCCTTTACTGAATTTTAAAGCAAGAAAATATTGTGTAAAATTATATAAAAATTAAAAACTGAATAACAGTAAAATTACTTTTATTAATTTAACTTTTTTTTTTTACTTTTTTGCATAATAACTTAATTTTACAGTTTTTAATGTATTTTTTTACAGACACTGAAATAAGATTGAAATTTGAAAGATATATAGGCAGGCAGGCAGGCAGACAGACAGACAGACAGACAGACAGAGAGACAGACAGATAGATAGATAGATAGATAGATAGATAGATAGATAGATAGATAGATAGATAGATAGATAGATAGATAGATAGATAGATAGATAGATAGATAGATAGATAGATAGATAGATAGACAGATAGATAGATAGATACACAGAGGACTGATTTTAATGTATGCTAAAAAAATATACTATAAAACATCAAATGTAAAATTTTACTAAATTTAAAACCTTTAAAATTGTAAATTGTACTTTAACCTACAATAATTAAAAATACCCGTAAATAAAAAATTGCTAGTAAAATACAAGTAAGCGATTTTAAGGTCAGTCTGTAGAAACTCAGAAGGCGTATGGAATAAAACTGTTTATTCTTTTCACAATTTTCCCAAAAATTTCCACATCGAAAATAAAATATATTCCTTCTAAAAGTATCGTACAGCAATCAGTCAGCACTAATAAACGCTAATCCTGCAGCCTCTACCGTGTGTTAACACATCATCACACAAAGCAAATGAAATAATTAGCAGTTAATTTGAGGAATGTAATCTCTGCCGAGGCCCTTAAACAGCAGCACTGTGATGATTTATTGGGGTTAATTGAGGTTCAGTCAGAGGATGAACCCCGGTCAGGATTAAGAGCAAAAAAAATAAACACGGTTTGAATCATGTCACTGTTAAGAATAGTTCACTGCTAAGCAGCATCTGTGAACGCATGGCATCCCGCGTAAAGCTGTCCTGAGTAAATCACTCAATAAATCACAGAAAATAAGGGTTATTTCTGTATATAAATGATGCATGTGCGCATGGCCTGTGTGTCACATGTCCTGTAAACTCGCCATATGTCATGGATGATGAATTATGAATGTGCTGCTGGTTGCAGGCTGGCTTTTTCCTGGAGAAACTGTTTGATTATAGATTTTGATATATTCTAGAGCAACCGCTGCAATCTTATATGAATCTCTGAGTGCAAAATGCTCAAATATGAGGCAAAAATACAGTTTTTTAATGCTCTTTTCAGTGTTATTTGGTTGTTTGTTTCAGTCTACATTTAAAATGCACTTTGAAGTGTTTCTTTTGTTGCATTTGATCAATTTGTGTTGTCAAGATTTAGGTTATGATGCATAATTTTAAAGGCTGTTTTCTCAATGTGATTTTATCTCCAGTGGAGGGACATAAAGTTAAAGCCATACCGTTATTTATATCTACATACTGAATTTCTAACCATATACTGATTCGAATCGATTCACAATTATTAAAGAAATCATGAAATGGAAAATCTTTTTTCCCTCCTACTTCTAATAAAAATAAACAAACCGCAGGCCATGTTTTTATAGAGTGATTAGTTCTTATACCAGTGTTCCAGACAAAAATGTTTACAGTTTTCAAGCCCTTTCCATGTCCATTTTCATTTTTTTTTACAGCCGTTTACATTTTTATATATTTACATTTTCATTACATTATAGCAGATATTATAGTATAGTATAATGAAGTATAGTATAGTATAGTATATAGTATAGTATAGTCAAAGACTCTAGAATACACAAGATGTGTCACTCGTATAATTTGAAATGAGGAAAAGTGTACGGTCAATCTGGCGAGCTTGGCTAATATTTGTTGAAAATTTGATGTTTCCCCATTCAAACAGAATGCCTGAGTATACTGCCCAAGAGGCATTTCAAAGATGGCGGGCGAGTGAAATGACTGGCCCTAAAGGGACTTTGGTATAGTATTGTATTGTATCGTATAGTATTGTATAGTATAGTATTGTATAGTATAGTATTGTATAGTATAGTATTGTATAGTAGAGTATTTTATGGAAAATGTTTGATGTGCTAACATTGATTTACTGTCATTTACACTTCAACTGCCAATTCACACATCCTAAATGTGTAATCTTTTATCTTTAATTGTCATCTGTGTCATCTTTATGTGTCATTATTAAATTTTATTTGTTTTAATTATTTAATTTGTTTCATTAATTGTTCACTTAATCTCCATGGTAATCTCAATGCTTTTTGTCTGTTCTGACTGATTAATCAAAGAACACCGATAAAAAAATAATTACAAAAAGAAATATATATATATATATATAGCACTTTACAAACTGTGAATTCTAATAAAATAAAATATTAATAAAATTAATAAAATCAATTTACCCGAATGAACCCTTGTTAATTATAATTTTTTTACAGCATTTTATTGATATTTTCACTGGGTTTTCAGAGTGATTACAATGTGATTAAAACAGATTGCTATAATCTCCTTTGTAAAAATGTAACTCTTATATGTCAAGTAAAACATATAACGTAGCACACAATTAATTGAAAATTTCATTTCATTTTTAAATTGAAAAATTATAATAAGTTCTAACACGTAATAATTTAGTATGGTGAGAACTATTAGTTAATATCTTTATACATTTTTTGATCTAGTTTCTTTTTCTAAGATGCTCAACATACGCAGAAGACATTTGCACATTGAATAAGCATTGTTTATTTGGTTAAAAAAATATTTTAAGGCATCCACATGATGTTTTACAGTACATTCATGAATGATTGTCCCAATTATTGCAGAATCTGGTTACATTCATTTGCATATTGTTTATGAATTGTTATTTTTACAGCTTGTTACATATTTGTTATATGTTGCACATGAAGATGAATACCTGGAAAAGGAAAAACCTTTTTAAAATCATAAACATACACATTATACCTTTAAGAGCACAGATGAGCATAAATTATCACAAATATGACAACATTTGAATTCAAATAGACTAAATAATTTCATATAATTATTATGTATATGTGTATTACATACACATATAATATGCATATATGAATTTTAAATATATAGTAAGATTACATAAATAAGCATATCATTCATTTATAATATTTTATAGAATAATAGTATACGATTAATGAATAATATTTTATAACAATAATTTATAAAGCAAATTATATGTGTGTCTGTGCATATGTGATAAACAATTCAACTAATTCATAATGTGAATGAATACATAATCAAACAAACAAACATATTGTATAAATGCTAAATTAACTAAGGAACAAAGCTACAGTTTCTGCTATGCATGTATCATTCATACTCCATAATCCATATTTAGTGTCTTTCCATTCATCAGCATCACGCCATGAAAAAACGGAAGCACATGTAGAGGATGACGATGAACGCGATCAATGTCTGATGAGGCACGTTTTCACTCATGACAGAAGGCAAATATTATCTGACCTCCAGTGCAGGTCTGTAGTGTTTGCAGAGCCCGGCGTCTGAAAGATTGCGAAAGGCCAGGCAGGTTTGGGCCCCCCAAGTCTAGACCGTAGCCTGAGAATTCATGTTTTCTTCCCCAAGTTGTCCCTGAACCAGACACGTGCATTGGTGTCCAGTTTTAGGAGGTCCATAATCCAGGCATCTTTTTCTGCCCCTTCCAGGAACTCCGACAATGAGATCTGACCTACGGATCAAGACCAGCACTGTCTTTAATTAACACTTTCACTGACCACCCACAAGCTTCTTTTAGTAGCAGGATAAGTCATATTTAGCATGTTTGGGCAAATGCATGGTAGATTCTTTATCAGTTTATTTATTTATCGATGCAGATTCTGTAGATATTTTTGAAAAGTATCTGATGGATTGGATGTGCCTGTCATTGTTCACAGAATATCATATACATAATCACATCAATTTTGTAGAACTTTACAAAATATTACTTGCAAAACAGATTTCAAAAAGTTATCCCAATCTTAATTATTTTACCAATCCTAAACACAAACATTTAAAAATATTTTAACACTTTTTGCATAATTCACACTACTAAATTGGGTGCATACAAGTCAAAAAACAGTCTTATTTAAATGACCACTTTACATGACCATTCTGTATTATGAAAATTAAATGCCTACATGACGCATTTCCATTCAATAAATTATGAATGATTAACTATAAAATAAAAAAGCCCATAAATAATCTTTAAGCCATTCATAAAATCTAACTATAATCTGATTATAAGCATTTAACAACGGAATATAATCTATTTAAGTACTAAATTTGGAATTTGGAATCTCATTACACAATTCAGATTACATGTAATTGGTTACTATAAAGAACTGTGTGTGTCTATATATATAAGAGTTTAGATGCAAAAACCTCTTCATGTTGTTTCATATTTTCTTCTAAAATTAGCATTTTTCTTCGACTCTTGTGTGTAGGCCTTGAAATGTTACTTTTATAGTGACAAATAAGTTATTTGCAAGTGAAATACTTGAACAAACATAGGAGGCTGAGAAAACTGTTCATTTTAGAAAAAAATAACTAGATGGCATATGGAGGTTTTTGCATCTAAACTCTTTATATATATATAGCCCTATTTATTTTCCCCCAATTTCTGTTTAACAGAGAAACATTTAATAGTTTTAAGTCTAAACTTAATAGTTTTAATAACTCATTTCTAATAACTGTTTTATTGGATCTTTTCCATGATGATAGTAAATAATATTTACTAGATATTTTTCAAGACACTTCTGTAAAGCTTAAAGTGACATTTAAAGGCTTAACTAGATTAATTAGGATAACTAGGCAGGTTGGAGTAATTAGGTAAGTTATTGTATAACAATAGTTTGTTCTGTAGACAATCGAAAAAATATATAGCTTAAAGTGGCTAATAATTTTGACCCTAAAAGAGTTTTTAAAAAAATGTAAAACTGCTTTTAGACAGTTAAATACAACAAATAAGACTTTCTCCAGAGGAAAAAATATTATAAGACATAAATGTACTTGCTCTGTTAAACATCATTTGGGAAATATTATTTCGTTTTATATATTAATAAGTATTTTGGTCTTACGACAACTATTTATTCGAGAAAGGGAAAATAAATACACTTACCATCATTGTTTTCATCTAAAAGTTCAAATATCCTGTCACAGATTTCCACAGGAGTCATGTTGATTCTGTTTTTCTTAAGCTTGCAAATGATCTAGAAACAAAACCAAGAGAAAAAAAAAATGTTTAAAGCAATATTACACCCAAAAAAATATATTTTTTTACACCCTCAAGCCATCTTCTGTATATATGATCTTTTTTTTCTGTCAGACAAACACAGTCTAAGTAGTTTAAACATTTATCTTGTCTATTCCATGCTCTATAATAGTGTTGGATAGTGACTTTTATGTTGAAGCTTCCAAAAGCACATAAATCCGTCATAAAAATAACCCATACACCACCAGGGGGTTTGACGAACACTGTAAACAAATGATTAGTTGACTTAGCCTAAAATAAGTGCGTAAACCTGCTGCTTTTAAAAAGATTAGTGGACTTAACTTTAAAAAGTGAGTAAACCCGTTGTCCTAAAATATAGCCTATGTATGTCCACAATACAAAAGTTATGTCAAATCAACTTCCAAGTTACAAAGGAGTTTACTCTTTTTTTTTTAAGTAAAGTTAATTTATAACTTTTAAAGCAACAGATTTACTCACTTTTCAAAATAAATAAACCCTTTTTGAAACTCTAATTCCTGACTTCTAACACAACATATGACACATCATTTAAGTTGCATTCGTAGTTTACCACTAGGAATGTTTACCACTGAAGATGGTGACAAATAAGGTAAGTACTTGCTTTGGCATTACTCTATAATGTTATACAGTATATTATTACTCTTACAATGCCACGTGCATGTGCTTATGCATCCTTTGACACAAGTTGTATACGTTTTTTGCACATAACCTGCATCAATGTTGCAATATTTATGTTATAAAAGCATTGATCTGCTACATAAGACATGCTTTAATACCCTGGCAGCATATTGGCTGGTTTTACTGCTATTATGCACTTTTGAAAGCAAAATAAAGCCACTATCCAATCCTATTATAGAGTACGGAAGACCCAGGATACTAAAACCTTGCTCATATTTCATAACCTGTCATATTTTATTTCATACTTTAATTTTTGGTTAAATAGTTACTTTAAGATAGTCCAAAATGAAGATGATTCTTACCCTTATGACATGTATAACCTCTTGTCTGTCCAACTTTCCATTCTCATCTCTATCATAGACTTTAAAAGACCATTTCAACCTGTCCTCCAGATTTCCTCTCAAAACGAGATGGACGGCGGCAACAAACTCCATAAAGTCTATGACGTTATCCTGCAAACAGTTGATTAGCTCATCATTTATGCACATAATCACAGCTTATGCATAGAAATTGCTGCTTTGTAATCAGTATTGAGAAAGTTTGTAACAATTCCTACCCTGTTTGTATCAAAGGACTTGAAGATGGTCTCCATGTACAAAGCCTCCTCTTCTGATGAGCTCTGAACGCCGAAAATCCTGCGAAATTCATGCAGATGCAGAGCTCCGCTGGGACACACTTTCATGAATCTGGTGTAAAGAGGCTGGATTTCTGTTAGCTCCACTTCTTCTTCTTCTTCATCGCTTTGATTCTGGCCCATGTTCAGTTTTTGGCCAATATGAAAAAGTGAATCTGAAAACGACCACGGCAGTCCAGGCGAATGTGTCGAGCTGCATTCTCCTCCTCACAGATAACTTGGCATAATCTGCTTATGACTAGAAACGTGTTGCCTTATACTATGAACGGACTGGTATTTTTAGATGGACTAAATCTCATTGCTCTTTGATCCGATGTGTGGAAGCTTCTCCTGGTGAAAGTTCACAGTCTACTTTTTTTCAGTGTTTCATTCTAAAGTTTGCCCTTGAGCTTGAACTTTAAGTCTGCTACTTTTAAAAAGTATGTTTATTGAGAGTGTTTTATTTGTCTGCAGTTGTTTGAGAAATTTACTAGTAATTTCCAAGTTTAATGTTCCCCAAACAATTAGTTAATTATAAAATGGTCTTGTTTTTTTTTTTTTACTATAATTGGGCCAATTACAGTGGTTTATATGAAATTAATAACAATATTAGTAAAAATTAGTAAGATATTAGTAAAAAAATATATGAATCATAATTGAAACTGAAATGTATGAAACAGAAACTGAAACGTATGAAACTGAAACATGTAAAATTGAAAGGAACTAAGAATAAATGAATGAATAATTAAAAATTTTAATAAATAACCTTCTAGACTAAAAAATAGTAGTTTACATGACATATTATATTAGCATTGTTTATAAATATGTTTCATATTGTTTACTTAACAATATATATATTGCTTACTAAATAATATAATATAATATAATATAATATAATATAATATAATATAATATAATATAATATAATATAATATAATATAATTAGCATATTATTTTTATAAATATTTTAGATCATATTATATAATTATTTATCATAATCAGATCAAATACTATAATTAATATTAAAACTTTAAATCAGTTTCAATTGAATTATTCAATTTAATTAATTATTCAATATTTACTTATATAAATAAAAAATATTATTTCTATTATTTACAAAACATGTTATTTTGATTACATTATACATGACTTAATTTAAAATAATACGTATGGTATGACGTAAAACATTGAAAGAAATATGCATCATATCTTAATGGAATAGGTGAGATTCATCAGTCTCAATCCATCTTCGGCACTGAAACTTTTATGTTCTCTGCAGCTGGCAGCACAAAAAAGTAAAAAATAAATCAAGCTAGTATCTCTCAGAGTCTCTCTAAATGATTAATTGATCATCTTGAAAGATTGATTATTCATGAAGACATAGCTGATTTAAATCAGATAGTCAACATACTCTATTACACCCATGTCACAAAACGTCTTGCGTGACTAGTTAAGTTAAGCCCTGACCGCCCATCATCTAGATTGCATTTCAGTGGAGCATATGGCGCGAGTGGGGGTTTAAAAGAGGTAAAACCATTCTCGCCATTCTTACCTTTCCTTTATCTCAAGCAGCTGTCCTAACAAGACCTTTTACCTACAGGCTAACTATAAATAACCCTTTAACAGGTTAAGCCGAGTATCAGAGTGCAGCTGCGGTCAGACAAGGTGAAGGAAATGAAAGTTAAAAGAACAACATTAAACTGCAAGGAGGTGACTATTGATATCATAAATTAATTATTAGGATTAAGGTTTTAAATAAGAAACATCCACACCTGAAAATAGAGATGGATGGATGGATGGATGGATGGATGGATGGATGGATGGATGGATGGATGGATGGATGGATGGATGGATGGATGGATGGATGGATAGATAGATAGATAGATAGATAGATAGATAGATAGATAGATAGATAGATAGATAGATAGATAGATAGATAGATAGATAGATAGAATATTGCGTTTTGGATGAGTAATTTTATATTATCAGATGCTATATGATGAATATATGGAGCCAGATAAGTCCCAAAAATAATAAATTTACTAAATAACATTTTTACATGCACAATTCATTCATTCATTTTCTTTTTGGCTTAGTCCCTTTACTAATCCGGGGTCGCCAGAGCGGAATGAACTGCTAACTTATCCAGCACATGTTTCACGTAGCGGATGCCTTTCCAGTCGCAACCCATCTTTGGGAAACATCCATACACACCCATTTACACTCATACATTATGGACAATTAAGCCTACCCAATTCACCTGTACCGCATGTCTTTGGACCTACCGTGCCATTGCGTCGCCTACCGCACAATTAACAATGACTAAATCTATTTAGTTATTTTATTTTTTATTTTTTTTGCTAACACAATATATTTAATTTGCAAATTCAAAACACAATTATAATATTTATTACAATTATAATACATATTATAAATATTCAGAAATAAAAGTACATGCATATTACATTTTTATATCAATAATTACATTTTGGATTTAAAAAATGTATTTGTTGATACAAAAAATGTAGCTGTCAACAAATCAATTTTTTGATTTCAACAATGCAATTTGAATGGCATTCCATGGTGAATTTTTAACGGTGAAAATACAATTTCTGATATCAACATTTACATTTTTTTTTATCAGATATTACAATTAAATTGTTGATATCAAAAATGTTAATTTGTATATCAACAATTAGATTTTCATTTCAACAATAAAAATGTGGATATCAATAATAAAAGTTGAATTGGTCATATTAAAATAAAATTCAAAATATAATTTTAGATATCAATGCAATTTTATTATTAATATCAATTTTATTTTTTATATCAATAACTGATATTTTAGAGAATTTATACTGTTGAAGTCCATTTTATTAGCCCTTGTATGATTAGTTTTCTTTTCAAATATGCTAAGAAAATGTTGGTCTGCCGCAAGATCCCACCGAGACATCCTCTAGACGTCAATGGGGCCTATCTTTGCTGGACATTATTGGTATGGAACTTTTAACAGCGCACTTACATGAAGCTCAGTCAAAACTTGTTAAATCCTGGATTTTAGCTTTTGATATTGTCAAGTCCTTTGTTTCTTCCTTCTAATGTACAGCCTTTCTGTTTATATGGTGTTCATGTATCTCATGATGTAATAGTCATTTATTTGTACTTACCTAACTTCTAGTCTGTCTTGGCTTTACATTATTCTTTCTTTTTATATATATAACACAGCAATATTTTAACTTCTGTTATTATAGAACAAGTCTACCTGGGTGGGGAGTGAAGATTCGGGGTTGTTTTATGATATAGTCGTATGTTGTATGCTCTCTTTATTAAACAAAAACTGAAATAATAAAAACAATTGTTCACAAAAAATATATATATATTTTCAAAATTATGTTTTAACAGAGCAAGGAATTTGTCACAGTATTTCCAATAATATTTTTTTTCTTCTGGAGAAAGTCTTATTTGTTTTATTTTGGCTAGCATAAAATTTTAAAAGTTTTACATTAAAAAAAAAAAAAAAACTTTTTAAGGTCAAAATTATTAGCCCCCTTAAGCAATATTTTGTTTCGATTGTCTAAAGAACAAACCATCATTATACCATGACTTATTTTAACTTGCCTAGTTAACCTAATTAAGCCTTTAAATGTAACTTTAAGCTGAATACTAGTATCCTGAAAAATATCTAAAATATTATGTACTGTTTGCATGGCAAAAATAAAAGAAATCAGTTATTAAAACTAGAAAACAAATCTTCTCTCCCTTAAACAGAAATTGTACAAAATATACAGGGGGCTAATAATTCTAACTGTATATTTGTATCGTTATTATCCAAATGTTCTGAAATCTGCACAATTCACTTAAATGACCTACAACAAGGTGAAAACGGTGATTTTCGCAAAAAGGTGACAAGTTTGTACCCCTGGCATGTACATTTTATTAAGTAAATGTATATGTTTTGAGACTTATCTAGCTCCATAGTAATGTAGCATTCTAATTGAATATTTGCTAAACAGATCAAGTCCATTCATGCCCTCTTTTAACTGTTTCTGAATTCTGTTTTAAAAGAAAAGTTTCACTCACAGTGAACTCTGACATGGATGCAGAACCACATCAATTTCACTTCCGGCCAATAAAAGCCGAATCCACCTCCGTTTCACCTCTAGTCTTCTTTTTGATGAGGTAATATATTATTCAGCAGCATGTAAGAGGCAGTTTGTCAGAACAAACGGTGGAGACATTAAAGGTTTCTCACCTTTTCTCAGCTGTCATTACTGTCAGCGTAATCCTCTGAATCACTGTCAGAAAACACAGATCTGTAGAGCCAACGTTTTATAAAACATAAATAAAGAAGTGTAGCTAATCTGGGACATGTGTTGCTCTTAAAGGGACAGTATATTCAAAAAGAAAAATTTGCATGCAATCTAAAATGTAGGTGATTTATTTTCTACAGTACCACACTGATGCAGCTTTTTAGCTGATATTGTGGTGTTTGCTGATTCATAAAATCAAGTCAAAAAAATTATAATAGCCATGTCTCATGTAGGCATATGATTTTGATGGTATGATAACCTTGGATACAAATATTACTGCTTTATGGTATTGTGATCACTGCTCTAAAATATATATTTTTTAAAACTTTTTCCCCTTTGAACACAATATATTTTATTTTATTTTAAGAAACATTAAAAATTTTAACAAATCACGATATACCATGAAAATGGTTATTGTCCATTGCCTAGTCTCATAACAATACATTGAGTTTGTATTGTGAATTATGAAGTGATGTTGTATGTTTAGGCCTACAGCAGAGGAGGACATGTTGCATTGTTAATATGTTATATAACAAAATTATTAATAAATAGTATCACTTCACAAGTTAGTTTGTTACAGTTGTTGAAAAAGGATGAAAATGGTGGATAGAACAAAAACCGTCACATCTACATTTATTTGTCCAAAACTTTAACTTTTAGATAAAACTTTTTGATAAAAGTAGTTTTTTTAGGTAAAAATTAAACACTTTGTTTGAGTCTAAGGTTGTAAATATGATTGTTTTGCTTCTTAAACCTGAACATACAGTACAGTATCAGCTTTGTTTGCCTTTTATATGTTTTGTTGCCACTCAATAACAAAGTCAAGGAATCCATTTTTAACTGAATATCTGTTCTACTAAGTTAAAAAGTCACATACTTATACTTTGAGTTGATTAAAAGTTATTTTACAATTTAGAAAAAAGTATGTTTGAAACTCAGCTTTTGTACAATACAGTTTTTTTTTTTTTTTTTTTTACAAATAACTAGGTTTGAATATACTAAAGCACTGTTAACCAGGAACAGTTATAACAGTTAAATAATCCAAAACTACAAACAATAAGCCATAATATGTTTAAAAATCTAATTTAAATAAACTGCCTTGTTGTTGAAGCTTTAAACATCCAAATACAAAAAAGGCCTCGATATTTTGAAAAAACACAGAAAGGCTAGATATGTCACAGAAATCTTCTGTTCTGGTTTACCTGATGGAAGATGAGACGTTAAAATGTCGTCTCGGTCCCTATTGAACATTTACTGAGGTAAATTGTGCTAAAATACACCCAAAATTTCCTCCTCCTCATCATCTGAATATAATAACCTTCTGCTGCCGCCTATCGACGAACAACAGCATGATCCCTCGAATTCCGTAAACATCCCCAACGTCACTTCCGCTTACATTCGCATAAAAAACATAGCAAACGCTGTATTTATTTCGTATTAAGCGCAATTTCCATCCTACTTTCTGCGTCTCCATCAATACTGAAGTGCAGAGACGCCCTTTCCAAACCACGGCTGTATAAATAGCCTCAGTGATGAAGGTGAGTGGAGGATTTGCTTTTGTTTTGCGTGACAGTATTAAAAGCAAACCTGTTCTTACCTCATTCTGCACGAGCTCAAACTGTTGAATATTTATAATATATTTAAATACATACTTAAGCTTGTTTGGGGTGTGCCAATAACTGCGATTTCGCCGTATTGATGTCAAATTATTACCTCTGATAATGGATAAGGTTATGATGAAACCTTAAACAGGACAGCTGACATTGAGTCGATGTCTAAATATACCATCCCAACTGCGTGATTATGCAAAATATAGCCTGCTCTACGAGCTTTGCAGGTGTACTTTTGTTTGTTTTTGCTGCCAGAAAAGTTTATTTTAGTTGTGTTATAGGTGATGATGATGATGATGATGATGATAATGATGGTGATGATGATAATTATTATGGTATTTGAGTCATGTTATGTATTATATTTTGCACAGTATAACTATTAAGTAAATATGCGTTGTTTGTTATTTAAGTAAGTATTTTTATAAATGCATTTAGCATAATTTTATAAATGTCAGATAATTAATTAAAGCTTTTATATTTAAACCATGACATGTTGTCAGGAGATCTGCCATCAAGTTGATGCTCTCATGTAACTTCAAATGAAATTTTGGTATTTGTTCAAAATGGTATGTTTTAGAATTGAATAAACTACTTAATGCTACAAAAACAACATATAAAGGATACTTTGTTAATATTTTATGTGATACAGATGGTATGTTTGGTGACATACACTGTATTTTGACTTGTTTACATTGAAGCATGTTTATGTATCAACTGTACAAACTGTATCATTTTGTTAATTTAAGGGCCCAAGTACAGAGACTGAGGTGATTGAGGAAGCACCTGCTGACCCAAATAATGAAGAACTTCCACCTTATCTGCGTGAAGAACCACCTGAGGGTATGTTCTGCCTTGTTTATGCTTTCATAATGTTTTGATCTTGGTTACAACTTCGAGCATGAAGATTAATTGAATATTGTGGTAATTATTTTGATCAATAAAAATATGTTGAGTATGTGATGATGATATGGCAGTAAGAAAATGATTTATATGAAGAGATAAATAAAAAATGTATGTTTTAGGACTTTAGGACAATTTTTAAAAACTTTTTAAGGGGATGTTTAAAGAAAACAAAAGTTATTGTTGCACATTATATCGAAGCGGTTCATCTGCGGCTACTAGTTGGTTTGAGATTGGAATAGGTGTAGACATTAATTAAACACAATTGAATGGGTAAATTATTAAGTAAAAGAAAAACATCTTGTTCACTTCTTGATGCAGCTGTATTCTTTTTAGCGACATCCTTGGAGGGCTAATGTCCTGCAGATTTTAGCTCCAACGCTAATCAAACACACCTGAATAAGCTTGTAGTTGTAGTTGTAGTTGTAGTTGTAGTAGTAGTAGTAGTAGTAGTAGTAGTAGTAGCTGCTGCTCCAACCCTAATTAAACACAACCGAACAAGCTTGTAGTAGTAGTAGCTGCTGCTCCAACCCTAATCAAACACACCTGAACAAGCCAGTACTAATAGTAGTGGTAGTAGTAGCAGCTCCAACCCTAATCAAACACACCTGAACAAGCTTGTAGTAGTAGCTTCTTTTACTAAAATCAAACACACCTGAGCAAGCTTTTCGTAGTAGTAGTAGCTGCCTCTCCAACTCATAATCAACCACACCTAAACAAGCTAGTAGTAGTAGTAGTAATAATAGCATTAGTAGCTCTAACCATAATCAAACACGCCTGAACAAGCTAGTAGTAGTATCAGCGGTAGCTGCTGCTGCCCCAATCCTAATCAAACACACCTGAGCAAGATAGCGGTGGTAGTAGTAGCTCCAGCCCTAATCAAACACACATAAACAAGCTTGTAGTAGTAGCTTCAGCCCTAATCAAACACACCTGAGCAAGCTTGGAGTAGTAGTAGTAGCAGTAGCTCCAACCCTAATCAAACCCACCTGAACAAGGTAGTAGTAGTAGTAGTAGTGGTAGTAACTGCTGTACCAACTCTAATTAAACACACTTGAACAAGCTGGTAGTAGTAGTAGCTGCTACTCCAACCCTAATATAACACACCTGAACAAGCTAGTAGTCGTATCACTCCCATCATTATCATCATCATCATCGTCATAATAATCATCATCATCATCATCATCAGTAGAGTAGTATACCAGTAAAAGTATCCTACAATCTTTCAGACAACTTAGAGCTAAACTCTGCAGCACACCAGCCCCTATGTAAACCATGAAAAATGTGATTTTGTGAAATTTATAATGAGTACTACATGTTCAGTGTACAAGGGAGTATTTGACATGCAAAGCAACAAGGGTAGATTTCAGGACCAATGTTGTTGTCAGTGCGTTAAACATTTAAAAAATATAAGTTTTTGGTACACTAAATTCATCTTTAGTCATATTTTGACCTCACTGAATCATTACCTTTATCAAATGTTTATGCTTTTAGAAAATTATAATATCCAGAGCTGGATTCTTGGTCATTTCATATTTTCGAATGGAGTTCAAATGCATTTACTTTAAAGACATTTGTATATATAATAATATGTTATATATTATATTTAAATATACACTACGGTTTCAGGTTGGTGAAAAAAAATATGGCGAACTCCTATGCTCTGAAAAAAAACATAAAAACTGTCAAATGTAGAATATTATTACATTTTTAAATAGCCTTATTTTGTTTGATTTTATTATCTGTGATGATAGATATTGTTTTTTCAGCATTTTCAGCCTGAAGTGTCACAGGATTTGAAAAGAAAAATCTTACTTCTTTTTATTATCAGTATTAAAATAGTTGTACTGCTTATAGATTTTTTTCCAAGATGAATTCTTTGGGGAAAATGTGTCAACCTGCATATTGTTATTTAGATTTTGTTTTCTTTCTTTTTTTTTATACAGAATAAACTTTAAGCTTAACATCAATCTAGTTAATTTTTGCAAATAATAACAAAAGGATTAATAAAAATCCAGGTGACACAGTTGTTCAGTGGTTCGCACTGTTGCCTCACAACAAGAAGGTCGCTGGGTTGAGTCCTGGCTGAGCCAGTTGGCATTTCTGTGTGGAGTTTGCATTTTATGCTCGTGTTGGTGTCGGTTTTCTCCAGGTGCTCTAGTTTCCCCCACAGTCAGAGATATTCAGTATAGAGTGACTTGAATAAACTAAATTGGCCATAGTGCATGTGTGTAAATGAGTTTGTATGGATGTTTCCCAGTACTGGCTTGCAGCTGGAAGGGCATGCGCTATGTAAAACACATGCTGGATAAGTTAGAGGTTCATTCTGCTGTGGCGACCTCTGATTAATAAAGGGACTAAGCCGAAAAGAAAAAAAAAAAATGAATGAAGTTGGCGGTTCATTCCACTGCGGCAATCCCGATGAATAAATGGACTAAGCCAGGTAAAATGAATGAATAAAAATCCATCATTATTTATCATCTCTAGTAATGTTGTAGTAAATTATAGTGATCTGCAGAGGGCCACACTGACCAACACAACACAATGTAGGATTACAGGAGTGAAAAGTCACTCTTTTTTTAAATTGTATGAAGGTTTTAACTAGGCTTAATTCCCAAATCCATTCATCCATCCAGACTGCTTCATATAAAGTCCTGCAGGTGCCCTCTGGTACACAACTGTAGTTAATAACAGGCATGTAGGCTATTTTAATGCCTTTCATTAAGAGCTAAAGATCTCTCAGTAACCCACCATGTTTAAGTTAAAGTAGGCTTTTGTGCCCAAACCATGATCAATGTCCTCTCTTTGTTCGCGATGCTATTTGATCTTTACGTCCAGGGACGGCACAAAGAAACAAAGCCCTCTTGTCTTGTCTCTTTATAAAGAAGTCTCCTGGAGGTGAAAGCTCTGATGCCTCTGCTTGGCCAGAAACAGTCTCTTTAGTTTAAATGGCTGCATTATGTTGCTATAAATTGCTTTGGGATTCTCGGTGCCTGCTGCCCACCAGTGCATCACAGGTGATTGCATAACAGCAAATGCCTGCCCTCTAGCTTTTTTGGCTGGTGCCTTGGTGCGGATCCTGAAATAGTTTATTATATCGCTGTGATTCTGTCCTTCTTTGTTGCCGGGAACTCGCATAGATCCAAAATCTGGGACGTGCTTATTGAGTTGTTTGTTCTGATTCGGGGTGTGTTGGTTTTGTAGATGTACACAAAGGCAAAAGCTATTGCGGGTAAATCAGACTGTGTATTTTGGTGGCCATCGAGTTGAATTTTAAAGCATCATGATAAGCAAATAATAGAATGGTTTGATGTACTAGGTAATATTTCATGCATTATTAAGAAAAGTCAACAGATCATAGCTTAGCAACTAACGAATCTGTGAGAAGTCGATTGAATAAATTCTAAATAAATTAGATTGTAATGCTTTTTTTCTTGTGCAAAATATCAAACCTTTTCATGTTTTGGAATTAGTTTTTTCCCATTAACAGTATTATCGATTAGTTGTTTCAGTTAGTAAAATAGTCACAAAGTACTCAGTTCGGTAAATTAACTCACTGAATCGATTAATCAGGCTGATTAAAATACAATTTCAAATTCTGACAATTTGTTGTTTAATACTTACATTAGTAGCTTTATTGATGACTTGTTGCGTATCTTTGTTGATTCAGCAACCACTCTTACTGATTTTGTGTGGTAATTAAGCAAAAGATTGTTTATAATCAAGGTTACATCCATTATATACTTGATAAATCTAATTGAAAATGCCAGTTGTTACATGTATGTGTGCCTAATATCAAGCATTCTCATGTCTTGAATCAGGTTTGTTGTATTTTTTTCCATTGGCAATTGTATTTATAAGTTACATCACTCATTGAAAGTACTGTAGTTGTTTGCAACTAATGAATCTATGAATAATCGATTAATTGCATGATTTATTTTTTCGATTAATCGGATTGTTTTGCTAATTTTTACTTGTGCATAATATCAAGCCGCCTTATGTTCTGGAAATTGTTATTTCCCCATTACCAGTATTATCAATTAGTTGTATCGCTTATTAAAAGAGTCACAAAATACTCAGTTTACTAAATGAACTCGCTGAATCAATTAATCAGACTGTTTTAAATACAATTGCGAGTTCTTGACGAAATTTGTTGTTTAGTACTTGCATTACTAGCTTTATTGATTACTTGTTGCGTGTTTTTGTTGAGTCAGTAACCACTCTGACGGATTCTGTCTGTTAATTTAGCCAAAGAGTGGTTATAATCAAGTTTACATCCATTATATACTAGATAAATCAGACTGATTTAAATACAATTTCGAATTATTGATGTAATTTGCTGTTTAGTACTTGCATTATTGACTTGATTGGTTACTTGTTAAATATTTTTGTTGAGTCAATAACCACTTCTAACGATTCTGTGAGTTAATTTAGCAAAAGAGTGGTTATAATTTAGGTTACTTGCGTTAATATCTGATTGAAAATGTTTTTTACATGTATATGTGCATAATATTAAGCATTCTAATGTCTTGAATAAATTTTGTTGGATTTTTTCTATTGGCAATTATGTGTAAGTTACGTCACTCATTAAAAGTTCTATAATTGTTTGCAACTCACGAATCTAAGAATAATCAGTTAATCGCTTGATTATATTTTTCGATTTATCGGATTGTAATGCTAATTTTTACTTAGCCATATTATTAAGCCTTCTCATATTTTGGAATGAGTTTTTTTCATTACCAGTATTATCGATTAGTTGTATTGATTTTTAATAGAGTCAGAAAGGACTTAGTTTACTATATTAACTCACTGAATCGATTTATCAGACTGATTTAAATACAATTTCGAATGCTTGAAGAAATTTGTAGTTTAGTACTTGCATTACTAGTTTTATTGATTACTTGTTGCTTATTTTTATTGATTCTGTAACTACTCTTACC